TATATGTCAAGGTCAAGGTCATTGGGGGGGGTCCCCTAATCGGAACTTTTACCCAAATTTCAAATTGAAAATTTAGAAAAGTGTATTGTAGTGTATTGTCATAAGAATTATAAATTATAATATAATGTAATTAGTTATAAATGCTTATGCTTCGTTGATTTTTAAATTCTTATGTTTCGTTGATTTTTCCAATATTTTGCTGTAATTTGTTTAATTCAAAGAGATAATTTAATTTGGGTTAGTTCAATTTGACATTAAAGTAATAAAATATATATCTTAAATTAAGTCGTTTCTTTTTTGCTAGTGCATATTTTATGCATATTTTGGTCTTTTTTAATGCATATTTGCATGCATATTTTAACACTTTGATTATGCATATAATCCGATGTCTAATCATGAATATTATTAATGGCGAATTCAGCACACATGCACTGACTCTGCTCTGGTGCTGCTCTGACATGGTGTGAATGCAGAACCATTTTGGTGCTATGCCAAACTGCACTGTCAGAAACGTCCAGTGCTACATTTCTTCAACTCATTCAGTTCATTCAGTTGATCCGAAAATAAATTCATCCGAGTTTGATCAATAGAGATGATAACTGTAGAGAAAAGATTTTTCGGCAATATATAAGATATTATAGCATTAAAAGTATGCGTATTATTTATGCAGTATTTATATAATAAAAAATCATGAATTTAATAATGTATTATCAAAATATATTTATGTTAATAATAGCAACTTTTTATTGTCAATAATGTCATCGTTCTTCAATTATCCCCGAATCCCATTGATATGATACTCACGAAAATTTGTTCATAGTCGTTTTTAATAGTATTTCATTGATGCTAATACTGCTAATATTGACACCATATATGCAACTTTGTACAGATGAAATAATATGTCACAACAAATGTAAAGACATTGTCTAATTTGGGGTAAACTCTCACTAGACTTTATAATAAAAATCGCTGCTCGACAAACTATGGCTCTGGGGTTGCCCATTCTACTCTTAAATTTCTTCGTATCTTAAATTATTGCAGATGAGAGAGAGCGTAAAATATGTTGTAATGAAAATGCCAAATACTCAAACACGGAAAATAGTGTCCAGTTTTTAATCCCGAGCCGATTATTTTTATTAATATACAAGGGTAGATTGAAAAGTTTCCTACCTAAAGAAAAAACTTTTTTTTAACCAAATGAAAATTTCTCAATATATACTTCCCTTTAACTCAATATACTTGATCCAACATTTTTCTAGACTTTTCCTTCTTTCAATATAATAATTTTTGTCTAAACTCGAAAAATAGTCATTAATGGCACTTATCATTTCAGCATCCGACGAAAATTTCTTTAGATAGCTATTTTTTAAATTTGGAAACAGGAAAAAGTCGCGCGGAGAGTGTACGGTGGATGTATAATTAATTCGTACTTTAGTTCATAATATATATAATTTCGCCATCGCACTGCTGATCAATAGTGCGCAAATGCGCTGTTACGGGTGAGACGCTATAAAATTATGAAGTATTGAAAAAAGAAGTAAACCATTAGAGAATTTTTACAATTCTATATATTCAGACAGTGAACACTGAAGCACAGTATGCGATCTTTATGGTAATCAATATCTCGATAGCTATCGCAAAAATTGCAAAATAGTAGAAAACCTTTCGATTCAGTTTAGTCTAGTCCGTTCTACCTATCTATGAACGATGTTATACCTAGGTTGCGTTACGTTTCACGCATGATGCACATGATGCATCATTTATCCTTGTACTCACCGAATGTTAAACAAGGATAAATGATGCATTATGCACATCATGCGTGAAACGGAATGCACCTCTACCATTAAACATTCTGTATATAAAAAATGATGCACTGTGCCATAGGTGAATAAATTATTTCAAAAGGATTAATATAAAAAAAATACATGTGCTATACAATCTGATTTATTTTTCTAATTATTTTATATTATATTTCTAGAGACACGCCAGTGTCTCGTTTCTTTATACAATATACTAAACAATTACATTTACAGTCCAAGAAGTATTATCATTTATCATAAAAATAGAGATATTACATACAAAATATAGAGTACATCACATTAAAACTAATACAAGTTAAAAGGTTTCTTTCACTACAACGAGATATGAAAAATATGAGCATAACATGTTATAAATATCCTCTAATATAAATGAATATGTGAATTATATATTGCTCATCTACTTATACAGATGTTCCAAACTTTTTGACACACCGCTTGTGGGTAGGTAGAGCGGACTAAACTGAGTCGAAAAGTCCTCTAACATTTTGGCGATTACGACCAATTTCCGCTCTATCTGCCCACAAGCGATGTATTAAAAAGTTTGGGACATCCTATATAAAAAAGGCTGTAAACGATATATCTAATCGTAAAGATAGTATATACAGAATATTCCATTTTAATTAATCCAATTTTCTTCAAAATTATTGCTGTAAAAAAATGTTTTTAGATGAAAGTGGAATGGTTTCATGAAAGACGTATTTTGGCCACAGTTTTTTTCTAAGTAAAGGCATCAAAAAGATATAAAGTCACCTCCCCACTTTTTAAAATGAAATTATATAATTTTTTTCACTAATATGATTCCTCTAATTAGTCTGTATATAAAAATATTGAGATAGAGATATCGAGAAATAGTTTACGAATTTTTTGTGCTTTTTTGGTATATTTTGACGTGAAGTACAAAATATTTCGTAACCATTCATTTTTTTATTACTTTTTATTACTGTACCTTAATACTTTTATGCATCAAGTAATAAGATAATTGAGGTAAAGAAAAGTTTTTTTTAATTATGCAATATACACATCTTTTTATAAGTAACAATGTATTTTCTTTACTCGTTTGATTCGTGTTATTATTGTACATAAAGATTACAGTTAACAAAAAATTGATAATTTACGAGATATTTTATGAAGATATTGAATTCATTAGAGAAACGTTCGGGATGAATACCTGTTATTTTCTTAAAAATTGCATCCGTCTCAGTGAAATTAATCATTACGTTACGTCTCAGAATATTTTTTCTAAAAGAATGTCTTAATAAGAGCGTGACGGACATTTGTATATTAATATAAATATTTTGTAGACGATTAGTTAACGACGTAATACATTGTAAATAGCGGTTAATATTGGTTTTTAATTTGTGATACTGAAGATGACCAGATATATGGTCGAATCGTTTATCAATATGTATATGTAAGTTGAATTAATATATAATTGCATTGTCAGCTTGCGTTGGCTTTTATGCTCCTTTATCGATCAATTTTGAGATATTTTATATTTGATATCAAAATTTGCGGAAATGAAGTATGAAATATCTCGTAAATTATTAATTTTTCTATTTTTCTACTTTAGTACTTGTATACGGAATAATTAAAAGAATATTACTTGAAAAAAATTATATAATTTAGTTTAAAAAAGAGAAACGACCTTCATATCTTTCTAGCATCTCTACCTAGAAAACAAAGAACGTGATTAAAATACGTCCTCTCCGAAATTCTACTTTCATCTAAAACACATTTTATATCATCAAATCTTTCGAAGAAAATTGACTAGATTGATAAAATGGATATCTTGTATATGTATATGGTGTTTCATTTTAAGTGATATCATGATGTAAGAATACAAAGTATTTCATTGTGCATAATGGCGGTCGAAAAATTGATTTTAGCCCCTTCAAACCATACTTTTTTTTATCTGAAATATTAGGTGCGCAACTAAGTTCCCGCTGTTTGTCAATAGATGGTTCCAGCAGTAAGTGC